CGCCCCGCGGGCACCGCGGCCCCGCGCTCACCTGCTCGGGCCCCCAGGCGGGGCCGGCCCCGGGGGGCTCCGCCGCCAGCACCTCCTGCAGGTCCTCGTACCAGCCGTCCAGCTCCCAGCCGGGGGGGCCGCCCGGCCCCCACAGCCCCTCGGCCGCCATCGGCACCGCGGGCGCGGCGCGGCTGCGGGGGGAGCGGAGTGAGGGGAGCGCCGGGCGGGACCGCCGGTGCCCGGGCCGGCCCCGGTGCCCGAAGGGGGCGGCCCCTTACCTGCCCTCAGGTGTGGTGGTCGGCGAGGACACGCTTTCTCCTCGATGCCTGGGAATGATGAGAGGTGCCCTTAGAACCGCTGACCCCCGAGGCGGAGCTCGCCGGGGCAGCTCCGGCTCCCCGCGGCCCCCGCGCCCCCCGGGGCCGGTCCCGGGCTGCCCCCCGCACCTTCCCGGGTGGTCGCGGCTCGCCCCGGCCCCGCTCCGCTCGCTGCCCCCCGCTCATCCTCGGCCGCATCGTCCCGCACTGCGCCGCCCCCCGCGCCGCGCCGCTTTAAGGGCAGCCTGACGCAACGCTCGCGCCGGCCGCGGCCAATGGGCGCGCGGGATGCGTGACTGGCAGGAGAGCGACAACCAATGGGAGAGCGGCGGGGGCGGGAGGAGCAGCGCGGCCCGGCGCGCGGGAGGGGCGCGCGGGGGGTCACGCGGGGCTGATGCAATGGCGGGAAATGGGCCACGCCCACCAGCGGGTAATGGACGGGGGCGGGGCTTGGCGGGAATGGGCGGGGATTACGGAGAGTGGGCGGGGCCTCGGTGCCAGCGGGTCTCGGTTAACGGGAGCAGGGGCGGGCGGGGGTCTCAGCCCCCCCTCACCCCCACCTTCACCGCACGTGGGGGGCACCGGGGCGAGGGAGGAACCGGGGGGTCCTGGGGACACTGGAGCTGGGAGGGATGGCGGGACTGGGGGAGCTGGTGGCACCTCGGGGGCACAGCTGGTGCCACGGGGGTGCTCTGGCTGTGGGTGGGGGGCTGCAGGACCCGTGTGAGGGGTGGGGACACACCCGGGACCCCCCCCCCAATCTGTGGGGTCCAGCTGCCCCCAGCCCCTCGTCCTTGTGGGGGTCCCACAGGTTCCCCTCGTGCCCCCCCAGTCCCAGTTTGGGGGTCCCGCTCCTGCCCCCCAGCAGAGAGGCCGACACACCCCGGGAGCCGAGCTGTTTATTGGGGTACGGGGGGACAGACACCCACAGCTGGGAGGGAGCGGGGGGACAGGCAGGACCCCCGTGGGGACAGGGACAGAGCAGGGTATTTACAAGCAGCAGCTGGGGCCTGCGGGGGGTCACAGGGCCCAGGGGATCCTGGGGGGGCACGGGGATGTCCTCAGGGGAGCCCCGGGGGTCTCCTGGGCTCTTTCACTTCTGCAGCCGCTTGATGCGGGCGTCGATGTCGGCGAAGTTGTCCTCGACGATGGCCAGGTTGTCCTTCATGGTCTTCTGCACCTGGGGGGCAGGGGGACGGGTTATGGGGGGCAGGGGGATGTCCTCAGGGGAGCCCCGGGGGTCTCCTGGGCTCTTTCACTTCTGCAGCCGCTTGATGCGGGCGTCGATGTCGGCGAAGTTGTCCTCGACGATGGCCAGGTTGTCCTTCATGGTCTTCTGCACCTGGGGGGCAGGGGGACGGGTTATGGGGGGCA